GAGAAGTGGTCCATGCTTCCCTCATCACTAGTGAGGGCAGAATGTCTCTGCACAGGAAGCCTTTGAGGGTGACAGCACTAACCTCACCTCCCACCCCATAATCAAATTTGGGCGATGTTGCTGGGAACAAGGAGGATTCAGACTTCACTGATGTTGATGCCACAGGTTTTAAGCTGCCCGTAGCCACTTCTGGCACTTGGAGATGATAACTTTTCTCCAGGGGTGTCAGGGCTTCCCTCTGTGGCCCCATAAGAAGGAAGAAAACCACTGCTCACCTGTACAGATGAGGGGACTTAACCTGGGACAAGGAGAAGGGGGATGCTTAGTGTAAACATCACTACTTCTCCTGAAACCTCTCTTTTCTTGCTAACTTTTATATTCAAGATACAAAATCAATTCCTGGCCAGGTCTGAGCCCTGGTTTCTTCTCCAGCTGACGGAAGTGCCCTTTGTGGCACCTGGACTCCACCGGAGGACAGAGAGGATCCTGCTGGGTTTGGCTTGTCTATGGGTTCATCTTGCAGCTGACTACATGCACACATTTACTTCAGAAGAGTCTGTTAGGGAGAAAGTTTCACTTTTCAGCACTCATATTGGTTCCTGTCTGCTCGGGTGATTTATTTTTTTTTTAATTGATACAATGTTTACACACCAAGAGTTTATTTTAATCTTCTTTTGTTTTTTTCCCGTCATTCTCCAGGTGAAGGGGGGAGGATGAAGTGATGTTGCCACACAGTGTCCCCTACAGACTGTTGCTGTGAACAGCCAGGATGCCTGTTGGCAAGAGCCACCTCCAGCGCTACCTGCCTGCAGACACAGGCCAGGAGATAAAGACGGGGGGAGATGCCTTCACTTGCTGATGATGGCCTCTGGCTAGAGCCAGACCACCCCAGGGTGCTTAAAAGAAAAGGGATGGAGATGGCATGACACATGGTATGATGTTTCTCAGCTGGTGGGGAAGAGGGGACAGCGTCTCCCAGCAAGGCACAGTACAACGAGGGCATAATGAGTCACTGGTGGGTTTTCTCCAGCTGGAAGCACAGAAAGGTTTCCCCATCGTCAGTCCTATGCACGCACATATCCGCACCCGCCTCCAGCAAGGTCAGAAATAGCACCCAGCACACACCCCAACACTCATGCAGCGGTTTATCATGGAGATGAGCGGCTGAGCTTCTCCTTTTCTTCCCTGTTGCAAAATCCTACAGTAGGAGCCAACCAGCTCACAGCAGTTGAGCAATGCCACCCTAACAACACAGGAGAGAGGATTTAGCAAGCGTCACCTCGAGACCCGCGTCCTGCCCCAGCATCCACCACCACACTGAGCCATGCCTCACGTCAGAGTGGAACAGCAGGGAGAGGCTCATGAAGGATTTGCAGTGCAGAGCAGCAGGTTGGCTGCTCCTCTCACTCAAGCCAGGCAGGCACCAAGAGGCCTCCTCACCCCTCCTTGCCAAGCCTGGGACCATGCAGTCTGCAAAGACCCAGGAACCTGCCCTCCCACCTTCTCACCAGCGGGCCACCACCAAAGCTGGGTGACAAGATTTGTGGAGGGACCCAGCACTGTCAGCAGTGACCAACTTAGGACACTTTCCTGCTCAACCCTGTGGAAATGATCTCCATATCACCATTGTGTCCTGAGAGGAAAGGGATCTGAAGTCTTACCTCTCTGGTGTCGTCATCAGGAGATAAAGCACCAAGATTCAAAATGGGATGTGGGTTTGATCAGTAAATTTGATCTCCTGAAGGATTCATACTACAGTGATTCTAAGGCATTGTATGTTAACAATGAATACAAACAACCTAGCATCTTCAAACACTCACTAGGAGGTCTCCATGCCTTAGGCTAAGCGATATTGTACAACCTGAGCACATGCACAGTGACAACAGCACTGGGTGGCCCAGCCCTGGGGCTGCAGCATGACCTGGATCCTCACATGATCATTTGCTTTCATAATTGCAGAAAATTGCAATTTAGGCTGTGTGCAGAGGGAAGTGTCCGTACTTGACAGCAGTGTTGATGATAGCTTCAAGGATCTCAGAAAGACCCTGCAGGAACATGTCCCAGGGAGCGGCACAAGGAGGGGATGAGGCGGAAGCCAAGGGGACCTCAGCACTGGGTCCCAAGGGGTCTCAGCATGGCTGGTAGAGCTGGGTGGGACAGGGATCCATCAACAGCCCCAGAAACAGCAAGGGGATGAACCAGGACCAGGGTTCCTCCAGGGAGCCTGGTCTGGAGCAGGAAAAGGGGCTGCAGACAAAGCTACAAGGCAGGTCCAAGGTCCATGGAGTAGCCAGGGCTGGAGACAAGGATATATCTAATGCAGCTCCGACAGGGACGGGGACCCAGGCTTAAGCTCAAATGAGGTCCTAGGCCACAGGCAGAGGAGGTGCGTGGGTGAGGGTCCCAGATAAGGTAAAAAAGCCAAAGGCAACCTGTACCCCATTACTCAACACTGTCTGGGCTCTTTAGTTCTCATGGTAAAAGCTGCTTTTTATCAGAGACTCTCACATATAAGATGCCCTTCAAAAAAGCCAGCTAGGCTGAATGCTGCCAGCCTGGTCAGGTGGGATCAATACTTCTGCTTGTTCACGCTAATAAGGACATAGTCCCGTTGTCTTCAACTGAGCACGCCATAGCTGTGGCACACTGGTAATGCCCACAGGCTCCAAAAACATTATGACTTTCACAGCCCTGTGTCTCAGCTGTGCTTTGCAGAGCTGGGAGCTACAAGTCCATGTCAGTATGGGTCTGCAGGTCCAGGCACTGTTAAGGAGAGCTACGCTTCTCAGCTGGTTGGCCCTAAATCTCTCCCTGAGACCCAGAGCCAGGAGAAAGCTTTGGGTACTGCTGCTGTAGCAGCAGTAAAGCTCTGACCCTCCCTACGTTTAAGGAAGCATGACCCCAGAATTGATCTGCCAGATGCAAACAAAGCATAACAAAAGACAACATGAAATAAGCACTTCCCTAGTCACTCATTCACATCTGTCACCAACATTTGAAAAAGCCAGGCGGCAAATGCAGCTAAAAATAAGAGCTCAGTGTCCAGCTGACAGAACTACCCAGTCAGCCAAGCAGAAAGACCTGCCAAGCAAAATGCTTTTGGCAGGGGAACTTCCACTAATGCTCTTAGCCTGTTGCAAATGCAAAATAACACAGCCCACAGTGGAAGGCACTTAAATTTTTTTTTTTTTTTTTTTTTTTGCATTTGCTCCTAGTGGAGAGCACATAAAGACAACTGCCAAGGCCGACACTCAGCAGCTTGTGAGGATGGGATAATCTGTGCCATTCATTTGTGCCCTTAATCATTGACATTTCAACATGAAAATGCAATACCTTTGCATTCAGGAGCTCCTAACACCCAAACTCTAATTTTCTCTGGCACGGCCACTCTTTTTCCCACATGCTGTTTGGAGCTGCTGGCTGATAAACACAGCTAAAGTGGTGAAAATGCGTGGTTACGTCCATCTGCATCCTCATTTCTTGCCTAGTCTCCTTACTAGGAGACAAGTAAATTACCCATCCAGGTCTCAGGCTAAGAGGATAAAAGGGAAACAGGGTATAAACAGGCTGCAAAAACAGGGAATAAGCATGTACAAATGAAGGGAGTAGTTAGAAAAACAGCAAGTGAGGATACCTGAGTGGCTTTCACCAGGGTTTCCTCGGTCGGCAGGGCTACCGACCCAGTGACAGAGCAGATGGACACCTGCACAGTCACTAACCTGGCTGGCAAGAGAAACAAGCCATCTTCGTGCACAGTGCTCAGCAGGAATGGGGACAATGATAGTAGGGAAGCAGGGGTAATAATTCTTATCAGGTATGAGCACGTCCTGGATGGAGATCTTTAGTCTCAGGCGACCAGCTCATCTCCCTGACAATGTGAATCAAGACTTGGCCTCCTAAGAAGCTGTACTACTCATCAGAAGCTTGTTTACTGGTTAGTCACTCTTGTTTTGCCCTCCTTCACTACCTTTGAGCCCCCTCACGTCCAAGGATGTGGTTGTGTTAGCTCTCGTCAATGTATCTTGGATTTAAAGGGTTGCTTCTGGGGAACATCGACACTCCTACAACAAAGCCAAGATTTGAGGACAAGATCTATTTTCTGTAAAACTATACTGGCTGATGATGTTTCTCATCAGTTACCCACTTCACACCAATTACTAACTTTCCCACTGTTTTTACACTAGGCCATCCTCAGGTTAAGTAGGTTATGGGTATCAGGGTCACCTGTCCCTTCTAATGCAGGCACACTATTCCCCACTTCCCTGCAATACAAATTCATCACAGTTTAATAAGGAACATCTCAGCCTGTTCTTGGGTGCTAATCCTCCCTGCCTGATGACCACAACCTTAGTACAAGCTTTGGTTAATCTTAGCAAGGTCAAGTGTTCCATACTGTAGTATTTTGTTTTCAGAAGCACTGTTTCTTCAGTCAAAACAGCTAAGGATGGCCATCTCGTAACTCAAAACCAGGGACCAAGTTCAGGGGGGGAATGACAGGATGGGGATGGCACATGACATGGTTTATCTCCTCTGTGATCGGGACCCCACACTCCTCCCCCCATTCTTTGGGCATGATAGACCAGGTCACAAATAAAAGAAAACCCTCCCTCCGAGGCAGCAAAAGCTCAAAGAAAAACCACACATCACAACAATTAGTAATTAAGTTTTTATGTTTACAGTAGTTAGTTAACAAGGATACCAAGGTAGGTTGTTCTTTTTTTTTTTAATAATCAGAATTCTGATATGGAGTTCCTTTATTGGGAAAGATGTAGGAAGACCAAAACAGTTGCCCTAACATGTAATTACAAAGAAAAACAAAGTTGAAATCATACTGTGCTTTAAGGGAAGTTACATAGTTTAACTTGCATAGCACAAACATACATAAGTAGTGGAGTTAAGAGGCATTGATAAAGCCCATCTCAATTTGTGTTATTGCTTTTGGTTTTTTCCTTTTAGATCTGAGCAACTGGCTGCTGGTCTCTGCAGAAACCAAGGTAGGCTTACTGGCACCTACTGCTCAGTAGTCTAATTTGGTTTAGCCAAGGAACAGTGTACACTACGAAGTTGCAAATGGTGTGCTAAGGAGAGAAAGAAAAAAACAGTTATCAGATTAAGAGCATAAACAGTGTCATTAACCATTGTTCTACACTGATTTACTACCTCACATGATCCAGAATGTACATCACTTCCATGACTCTAGATTTGGACTCTCCTGACAAGCATTCTGGAACAGGACTCTTGTTAGCGCTTGTTCAGGATGAATCATGTCTCTCCAACACTAGCAGAGAAACTGAGCAGTCAGCACTTCTGAAGATCAGGTTCCCTCTTTTACCCGGTCACACACAGGAAAGCTTTCAGCATAGGTAATATTCCAACATAAGCTCTCAGGCACAGGTAAGCACACCTGTGCAGCTAATCCATATGTGCAAGTGTCAAACTATTGCAGCTGTTGTAATGGTAGACACAAGCTTCTAGCTAGGTGCTTAATGGATTGCTTGTGTGCAGTTGCACTTCTCATACATGCAGGCAGAAAGGGCATGTACACAGAGCAGCTAAGTCTATTACTGTAATTAAGACAAGTAATGAAGTACTACAGAAGAATTAGACTGAGGCCAGATCAAGGCAGATGTATTCAGCACTCATCTGAAAAGCTAAAGCACTCCTTAAAGAGCACAGCTATTAGACAAAACTCCTGTGTGATAGCTTGGTGGGCACAGAGGATAGGAGGGATCTGTCTCTTGGGATCAGTGCTTAGCCTAAAGCACTATTCACAGTAATCAAGTCCCCCAGGGAAGTGTGTCATGTCAAACATGTTTACATCACCATGGGACAAGAGGAATTGTATGGGGACTCAGGACACTGGATTGAGAGCCAGGAGACCTGCAGGCTTGGTAGTTTCCTCCACATATTCTTAAGACCCAGACCACAAGCACTTTTTAACAGGACTAAGGCACACAGTGCTCCATGCACTACAGCCTCAGATCCCCACTTACAAAACAGACTAAAAGGCCCTGCCTTCTGTCACCATCATCCAGCAAGACAAGTTTTGCAAGGGCAGTATCTTGTTAAGCGTAAAGGCATGAGGTCTCTGATCATGGCAGGGGCAAACTGACGACGCTGCCCATATCTCTCTGTACTGAGTTGGAAACCCAGGGGCCAGCACACTGCGGTCTGGAGCTTACCTTAGCCATCTGCGGTGCATCATGGAAAGCACAGCTCTGGAGATCAGCTGCTGGCTTTGGGCAAGTTGTCCGGCCAATCTCAACTTCCATTATGTACTTAACTCCAGACACAATCTGCAGCAAAACAAGTGGGCAGAAACAGCTTTATTTGCAGCACATTCAGAAGGGCTCTGAGAGAAGCCTAGCAGAAAGCCAGACCATTTTCTGGTTACATGATGGAAAACAGACTCCAGAAATCTAGAGGGGATTGCATGTGGCAACCTCATCAGAAGAGGCACTTGGTTCCCTTTCAAAAACAGGAAACAAAGTCCCAGTAAACAAGCCTCACAGTGCAGCTTCCTTAGACAGTAAACAGAGACATGTATTAACTCATCAACAGTGTAAGTTACCAGCTTTTTCAACAACACACAGCACATTCAGATTGTCAAGACCCAAACTATAAAAAAAGTTTTTTATTCACCTTCTATGGAAAAAAACAGTTTGAACAACCCCTCAAGCCTGAGGCCTGCTCTTTCTCCAAAGAAACACCACACAGCCCCT